ACTTGAAAGTCCTTTCAACATAAGATTCAATAGTTAAATAACAACTTGAAATATAGTCTAGTGGGGGAGAAAAGAAAATAAAGTGAAGGAAGAAAAGTGTGGGTCTGAGAAAAGTGTAAATATCATCAAGAACCAAGAGAACCTAGTCTTTAGTGGTCAGTTACTATTCAATGTCTTCTCTCAATGCTTTGGGAGTGGGCAGGGGAGGTACTCAGAAAGAATGCCAAACATTAGCAGTTACCATAACCTTGGCAGAGAATGATCTGAAGTTCTAAAATATAACCAAGTCCATGATTTTGAAATTATGTAAATTCTCTTTTGCAATTGATGGGTATCACTAATCAGATTATACAGCCAGCGTATTAAATTTACACTTTCACGTTTACTTCTCACTTTCAAACTCAATTTCCAAAGTTCTAGGGACTTAAAGCCTTTCAATGATTTATGGGAATTAAATTTCTAAAGCACACTCTACCGTTTCCAATCATGCGTTTCTGTAAGGAGAAAGGAAACTTGTTGAATTAGAAGCAAACCTGTAGTGTTTAAAAGTTCTTGTGTTTGTCAACACTGCACCTCTGTTTATCAGGGTTGAAACAATTCTATTCTTACACTGTTTGACAAGTATAGAAAACAGAAATACCATTTATTAAATTTATGAAAGAAATTCTTCATTTCCTTTCTGCTTAGCATTAACAGACCATCCCTAAATTTCTTTCTTGAAATGTACATCACCTTTGCAATCCTTAGGGGTACTTCAGTTGTGGTGGATTCCTTTTCTCCATCAAGTGCTAATGACTCACTGAAAGATACGTTATGCCTCCTTAGTGCCAATCAACTTTAACCACAGGTGTAAATAGCTTCTCCACCCAAATAAAAATATACATTAAATATAATAAAAATATACATTAGTACTATATTATATGGTTGGTTAAAGGAAGATGGAATTAAAGTGATATAAGGATGTACAAAGGGGCAGAAAACAGAGAAACACTGCAAGATAAGAAACATACATTTGTGGATAAAGTAGTTTTCTTAAAGGAGCACCCCCATATAAATTGTCTTCAAATACTATAACTCACCACAGAATTTCAAAGTATATTATATGTTCAAAAGTGGACACATGAATAGAGGCATCATCTCTTGGTATTTGCCCCAAACTAAGGTAATAAGAGGAAGAAGTCAGAGGGAAGAAGTTGAGCTCCAGAAACCAACTTAATATATGAGTCTAAATGAGCAAAAGTGTTTTCTATTTAAATTTTATCACATTCTATTTATCATTTAGTTGGGTTACCTATCTCTTTCCCAAGGTATGAACCTACCGTACACAAGCTTCAAAACATTCCAGGGCATTAATTTTTAGCTTTTGTTTTGTCACGATCCTCATATTTTCATCTTCTAAAACCACATTAAACAGATAACAAGAGACAGGTCATGAACAGAAAAAGGCATTACTTAAGAGGAAGATTGTGGAGAAGAGTACCAATGAAACTCACTTGTTCTCTAGCCTATTCTCCAAATATCTAGCATCCTGGATGCTAAACTACCCTGAAGATTTCATTTACTTAAATAAAGTCCATTACCCAGTGTTTAATAAATTATTAAGCTCTTTCTTAATTAATGTCTGAGCTAATTGAGAGGATTAAAGAGTAAGAGTTCAGAAGAAGAAATAGTTCAAAATACAAATTACGCCTACTTTTTCAGTATTATAAAACAAAAACAATTTTGCCCATATACTAGCCAAACAGTTATACTTATCTGCTGAAAAATAACTTCATATTTTGATGGGAAAGAATCTACATCCACAACCGTATGGTTCACACTGATATCTTAATTTACTCTCCAGGAAAATGAAGTTAATCATAAAGATAAATAAGATTTACAACACCTGCTTATTTTGTTATACTTTGATACTCTGAAAGTGATCTTTGAGAAACTTTTTTTTTTTTTTTTTTAATTTAAGATTTGCAGAAATCCAAGGATTCAGGTTCTAGTTCTACTCTGCCACTGTGGAAAATTCATGGGTTTGGAGTCAGAGACCCAGCGGTCAAATCCAGTTCCACCACTCACTGGCTTTGTGATCTGTGACTTAATTTTTCTGAGCCTCGGTTTCTTCCTCTGGAAATGGGGAGTATGTCATTTCATAAATCATTGTGAGAATTAAAAAAGCATATTTAGAGCACCTATGACAGGGTCTACTACACTTTAAATATCCAATAAATGAGATTTTTGCCTATCTTTTTCCCCATATGGTGGAAATAATACTTGCCCTGGGTTCCTCTTAGTATACTGAGAAAATTCAAATGAGAATGTTGAAATTATATAACATTAAAATTAGAACGAACCAAGGCCTGTCAGTTTTACCTCCAAGTCTCTCTCCAACCCTTCTATTTATTATTATCATCTCTCCTAGCATTACCCTGGCATAGGCTACCATCATCTCATCTTACTACAATGGCCTTCTTCTAACCAGCTTTCAAAATCTCCTCTCATCTCTCCATCCCCTCCCCACTCCATTTCTGCACGTAACAAGACACATGTGCTTAAAACTCTCCCAGTGCACTTAAAATAAAATCCAAACTTTACTACAGTCTTCAAGTTCTAACATGGCCTGATTGGCTCAAATTTACATTTGCCACTTTCCCTCTTGCTAGTATAATGTCCTTTTTTCAGAATTTTGGTAGTTATTCTCCTCTTGCCTCTGGGCTTTCACACGTGCTGTTCCTTCTACCTGGACTGATCCCACTGCCTGCCCTATGCCTCCTCCCTCTTAAATTCTTATTCTTCCTTCAAAAGCTCAATTCAAATGTCACTTGTTCAAGGACTAAAATAAATCAGGTCCTTCTGTTATTTTGTCTCAAGGCACTCATGTCTTCATAAAATTTAAAACCACTATGATTAAATAATGAGGTTTGCAGTAAGTTGTTTAATGTCTATCTCCTCTGTTAGTATGTTAGCTCCGTGAAGGCAGCTTCATGTTCACCATCACATCCCCAGCACCTAGGACAGTGCCTGACAGATTGGCAAATGAAGGGACATCTTGTCCAAATGCCTCATTTTGAAGATTAGAAAGGCATGGTTAGGTTAGGATATGTTAAGTGACTCGCCTAAGGCTGGGACACCCAGAGTTCTTATACCCAGGCCAATGTTCTTTTCACTACATTTAACTCTGAGGGTCCTTCCAGCTCTAACATCCTGTTATCTCTGAAAATTGAATAAAGGAGGTGAAAATACTTTACAGATGGATGATACTTCTTTTTCACTTTGGACAATATACTTGCTCTATTTCCCACTCTCCCACAGAGCACCTTTAGGAACTTTTATTATCCTGTTTCTCCGCTTCCTCCTTCCATTAAATTCAACAAACAAAACAATGAAAATGAAAAAAAAGAAAAGAAAATTAAAGAAAAGCAGAGAATGTTTTTTTTCATTTTTGTCTTTTTTTTCGTGACTGGTAACGGGACGCAACCCTCGATGTCGTGCTCGTGCCGCGACCGGGATCACAACCCTCGGTGTCGGTGTCGCGCCTGCACCGCGCTCAGCCAGTGAGTGGACAGGTCTCTATATGGGATCCGAACCCTCGGCGGGAGCGCCGCCGAGCTCCCAACGCCGCACTCTACCGAGTGCACCACCGGGCCGGCCCAGAGAAATTTTTTTTAAAAAAAATCAACATATATACAGAATAATCTAGTACGTAAGACATAATTCTTGTAAACAAGGAATTATATTCAATAAGGTAAATGCAATGGCGGGATGAATGAGATACAGATGAAGTACAGTTTAGGCAATAATTAATTGCTGGGCAGGGATCAGTAAAGGAAGGAATCACGAAGGTGACCCTTGAGATAGGTTTTGCAGGATGAATAGGAGTTTGCCAGGTGAAGGAAACATTCCTAGCAAAGCGAAGAACACACGTACAGAGACACTGCATCCATTCAACAGATATTTAGTGAGTGCCTACTGTTGCCAGCATCTACAAGCAGCTTTCCCTCCATGCTGGGAAAGTGCATGGCTCACTGAACTCCACAAATTATTATACTGTTGGTATTGCTACAGGGAAGAGGGAGCTGGAAATGTAGTGGAAAGCAAGGGTCAGATCATCAGCCAGTGAGTGGACAGGTCTCTATATGGGATCCGAACCCTCGGCGGGAGCGCCGCCGCGCTCCCAACGCCGCACTCTACCGAGTGCACCACCGGGCCGGCCCAGAGAAATTTTTTTTTAAAAAAATCAACATATATACAGAATAATCTAGTACGTAAGACATAATTCTTGTAAACAAGGAATTATATTCAATAAGGTAAATGCAATGGCGGGATGAATGAGATACAGATGAAGTACAGTTTAGGCAATAATTAATTGCTGGGCAGGGATCAGTAAAGGAAGGAATCACGAAGGTGACCCTTGAGATAGGTTTTGCAGGATGAATAGGAGTTTGCCAGGTGAAGGAAACATTCCTAGCAAAGCGAAGAACACACGTACAGAGACACTGCATCCATTCAACAGATATTTAGTGAGTGCCTACTGTTGCCAGCATCTACAAGCAGCTTTCCCTCCATGCTGGGAAAGTGCATGGCTCACTGAACTCCACAAATTATTATACTGTTGGTATTGCTACAGGGAAGAGGGAGCTGGAAATGTAGTGGAAAGCAAGGGTCAGATCAGAGCACGTTGTATGCCATGCTAAAAGGCATTTACTTTGATCTACAGGCAAGGAAAACCACCGAAGACTTGAGCGAGGAAGTGACAACCTCGGATTTTACATCCTAGTACCCACTCAGCTCGGATCACCCCCCAGACCCAAGAAAGAAGACAGAAAAACTGCTTCGAAAATCTGCAGAGGCCAAACATAACATAGTAAACGCTGTAGCACCCACAATCTTATTAGTTGATATGGCCGGACACAACTCGGCCAGGAAGAAGACAGTTACGTGACAAACGCACGGCGCCACAGGGCTCCCGGACACAGCCCCAAGCCTCCCCATCCCGGCAGGGACCCGCTCACCTCCGCAAGTTCTCGATCTCGGCCGGGATGCTCTGTAGCTGGTTGCCGCCCAGGCTGAGGGTCTGCAGCGCGCGCAGCTCCAGCAGCGAGGGGGGCACTTCCTGGAAGCAGTTGCCGCTGAGGTTGAGCACCTGGAGGCTGCGGCAGAGCGGCGACTGGGCCAGGCCCTTGGGGAGCGCGCCGGGACCGCCGAGCCGGTTGTTTTTGGCCAGCAGCGTGCGCAAGCCGCTCAGCGCCAACAGCTCCGGCCCGAGCGCGGTCAACGCGTTACCGCTCACGTCCAGCAGCTGGAGGTGCGGGAAGCCGCTGCCCAGCGCCCGCGGCAGCGACACCAGATGGTTGTGAGGCAGCAGCAACCGCAGCACCGCCTCCCGCGCGCCCCGCCGCTCCTCCTTCCGCGCCTCCAGCTCCGACTCCAGCGTCTCGGGGGCCACGCTGAGGCGAGACCAGTTCAGCTCGGCCTCCCCGGCCGCGGCCACCGCCC